GGGGTCACTGATGTGTTCGTTCAGGGCTGATATTGATTATTACTGATCAGGGACCAACACAAACCTGCTTTATGAACTTTTACATGTTTAACTAGAAGCAGATGTTTGACCAGCGGAGTCAGTCGAAGCTTCACTCCTGCAACGAGGAGATCACAGTTTTTGTATTTTACAAAATCTTTTTTCTTTTTGTAATATTACGGAGACATGTAGATGAGACTCTGAACTCTCAGAACTCTGAGGTTTGGTGATGTTCCTGATGGAGCCCATCTCATAGATGAGGTGTTCAAGGACCGTCAGAATGTCAACAATCTGCTCGTTCGTTTTTACAGCGTCTCCTGATGAATGGAGTCGTTTTGCTGATTTTTTAAAGATAAAATGTTTCTGGAACCTGCCGGCAGGTTTTTGGGAACAGATCAGATAATCGGCCAATCACTGCTCCTCCCAAAGCTACACCTGAGTTCCTGGGATGGGTTCTGCCGTCTCACTGGATGGGTTCTGCCGTCTGTTTTGAGGTGTGTGGTGGTTTTGGGGGGAGGTGAGTCTCTGCTGTTCTGTAGCTTTTTCTGTCGCAGCTACGATTCCTCAGGCGTCACCAAACACTCCCACAGACTTTATTCTCACAGGACACGAGCAGGTTCTGGTTCTGACGTGTGCAGCCGGAACATGAACACGACAGACTGAACCGAGTGTTTGGGAGCAGCAGATGGACGGTTTCTGTTTAGTTTCTGTATTTTATCTGCTCAGACAATCAGACTGTTTTGTAGCGACGAGGAGGAGGAGGACGCTGACATCACCAGCTCAGTGCAGCCAACCAGCAGTTTTCAAACTGTGACCTTTTCTAAGCCGATCAGGTGACCTGTAGATCCCTCAGGTGAGTCCAGACAGGAAGCAGCAGGTGAGAACGTCTGGACTCGACGTCTCTGCACTAAAACTTAGCGGCTGCACTCCAGCTAGCTGAACTTCAGATGTTGTGCTTCACTGCGTTCAGTTACTTCACAAATCCAATAAAACTGCAGCTTCATGATTCCCAAATGTGAAGATTTGCTGCTTTTAGTCGTTTATTAATAATTAGGGTTGTTCTGATCCGATCAGAGATCAGGGCCGATCGAAGCAGCTTCAACTGATCAGCAGAACCTTCTCCTGATCTTTAGCTTGTGGTTGCTGCAGGAAGGGTACGGATGTATCTACAAGTCTGGACCAATTACTCAGTAATCAGTTAATAACAAGTCAGGAGCAGTGGCTGCTACTCCTGAGTTATTCACTCACTAAGTCACTACTAGCTAGTCGCTCACTTTAACTCATCAGCAGCTCAGCTTGTTTTAAACGCCTGAGCTCTGGTTGGAGGTCCTGAACCTCCTCAGAGTCTCTGTCATGGTCTCGTTGCTGCTGAACTCCCACAATGCTCTCTGCTGCCACCATGACTGTAGTCTGGAGACGCTTCCTCTGGTCTCTACAGGGTTAGAAAAGAAGAGGCTCCACCTGGTGGAACAACCAGGTACTGCAGCTGGTCTATGGGACGTTTACTGACATCATGACCTTCTTCTTCTGCCTTGTCGGTTAATAGTTTGATTTGGCTGCATTATTAATGTAAATAAACCCATTAATCATTAATCATTGATCGTTAACATCCCAGGTAGAGAGCTGACTTCTTCTGACTGACACACCAGTCTAAAGGAGCGCTAGCGCCTCCTGCTGGGTTAGAAAAGCACCGACTCTGAAACATCTGCAGTGAACTACTTTAAATTGTAAAATGAAAGCAGCCACCAGTAATATCTGACTGAACAGAACTGATCAGAACCAGTCTGATACCGAAACACTGCAGAGATGTTCAGCCGTCACACTGGACGGACTTTACCAACCTGAGCCGTGTTTCAGCAGGTCATGGTACCAGACTGGGACTCAGGATCAGCAGATATGAAAAATAAATGATCCGATCGGATCAGAACAAACCACAATCAGCAGCACAATTAATCAGAGACGAGCAGAAAGCAGCTCTGATCTGGACCAGAACTGCTGCTGGTCGCTTTCTGTTATTGATTAACTGATTAACTGATTAATTGATTAATTGATTAACTGATTAATTATGAGACTCTGAGCAGCTGCTTTTAACAAACCAGAACTTTACGGTCATTTCAAAGGTTTCTGTGTTAGAAAAGCAGCAGCTGGAGACCCGACCGGCACCGCCTGGAGACCACAGAGTGCCGGTCCAATCCAGACCCTGTTGATCCAATCCAGAACCAACCAGTCTGGTTCAGAACCAGCCAGCTGATAAAAACCATGTGCAGCAATAAAAGCAGCTCCGGTTGCATTAGTGTCTGCTCCACGGTGGGTCTGCCGAGCCGGGCCTGTCGACAGAGCCGGGCCTGTGAAGGTGAGCCGACCCGGGGGGGCTGCATGTAGACAGTCAGCTGCTAATCAATGATGGAGACAAGAGAACAGAACAGGTGATTGGATCAGGGTCCGGTGACCGTCAGAACCACAGACTTTCTTCATCAACTGCTTCAGGATAAAAACCACGAGCAGCGACAATCAGACCATGATGTCAGTGTTGATCGATTGTTTTGTGCTGATCGATCGACTGAATGGATCCTGTTTTTGTACCGAGCTGCACTGATTTTATACACAAGTCCATGAATGAAAGGCGTGTTATTGATTAGCACACTTCTGCTGTCCTGTATGTATTGATCAGGAGCGATACACTGTCAGTATTTATTCGTGTCTGTGTCGTTTTATTTCACGTCTGTGTTTTAACTTCAGCTCCAGTCGGACCTCCAGTTTGCTGCCGCCGTCACATGATCTGCCCACGCGTACACATTGATCACTGATCAGCATATCTGCAGACTGAAGGCAGAAACAGATTCTATGGCCTCAGTCTGATCATGTGACCGCAGATCAGAAAATCTCCCAGCATGCACCTCTTCTCACTCACACCAAAGCAGAACAAAACACAGGAACATGTTTGTACATCAGAGCTCACAACTGTCGAGAGCTACTGCAGTACCTGTGTGTATTACTGCAGTACTTGTATATAATAATGGAGTACTAGTTGACATACTGAAGTACCTGCAGTGTGCTCAGAGTACAGGGCTGTACTGCTGTAGGTTCAGCAGAACCCCCAGTAGAACCCTATTCAAAATGCAGATGATGTAAGAAATTATTTTTAAATGTTCTCAATGAGGAAATGAAATTCTTTTATTCAACAAACTGTTCAGTGAACCAGAGGATGAGCTGCAGCAGACAGAGCAGTTCTGCACTCGTACTGTTCTGGGATCAGCTGTGTGTATTCCTGCTCTGTAAACTTTTCTATGGGCTGTTTGTACTTTTCACTCCAAACTCTTTCTGCAGTTTCATGTTGGAGTCGCAGCTCGATGTAAATAAAGCCTGAGACTTTTAAATGACGAGTTTCTGTTGTTTCTCTGAACGTCAGTGTCACATGAACCGGATCATCGGACCGACGGGCACGCTGCAGACATCACCAACACACCTGCAGAACCATCAGCTACAGAGCACCTGAACAAACACGTTTAATTCACTGGAGCAGTGATCAGTCGCTGCCTGATTTAACTATAATCAATTAATCAATAATAGGCCTTCCCCCTGAGTCAGCTCAGTGGTTAGCACCGTGGCCTCACGGCTAGGTCGGTGGTT